CCCCCCCAAAAGAATGGAAATTGGTTGGTGGTTGAGTAGAAAATCTACTTATTCCACGGTCTTTGGCTCGCATGGTAACATATATAGTAGGCACTAGGAACAATTCAGCCAAATTGTGCAAGTCAAATTCACAAGAAATTCTCCATTTTTCCAACTCTCCATTTTCATTCACCATCAAGAAGTGAAATCGATACTCACATGTGTGTTTGTCTCCACCAACAATGTCATTAACTCTATTTAAAAAGTCTTCATACGACAAACTCCCCAAACGCATAAAGTTCATCTCTGCCTGTCCATTTTTATAAACATTCTCATCCCAAAATCCGCTATGCACAATTCGAACTTTTTCACACATCTGTAAAACAAAGATGTAAAAGTATTTTACTGACAAATAATTTCAAATAATTATTTGAGAATTAAGTAATAAATGTTACTAATAAAACAAATAAAAATTGAACCAGAAATGATTTTTGGAATCACACCAAATAATTTATACGATTCAAAAACTATTTTTGGGATGTATCTACAGTTTCTGGGATCCCATAAACCATGTTGGAGATTCAAAACAGATTTCTAGGACCAGAAATGACGTTTCTGGGACCAATAATCGATTTCTGGGGCAAGAAATTGATTTCTGGAACCAAATTTTGATTTCTGGTCCACAAATGATTCCTACGTTTATGGGACCAGAAATCGATGGATTTATGGGTCAAAAATCGATTTCTGGATCGAAAATCTATTTCTGATTTGTGGTCTAGAAATCGAATTCGGGTCCGATTTCTGGACCAGAAATCGATATTTCTGGTCAAAAAATCGGTATTCTGGTCCAAAAATCGGATTAGAAATCCCAAAAATCAATTTCTGGGTACAAAAATCGTTTCTGGGTCCAGAAATTAATTTTTGGATTATCTCGTTTATGGTCCTAGAAATTAGTTTCTAGGTCTAGAAATCATTCAATGTTCCAAGAAATCGTATTCTGTATTTTTTTTGCAATATTCATGTTATTAATTTGAATAATATATATGTGATCCATTGAAAAAAGATAATTATAACTATACCTTTACACTAATATTTCTGAGATATCACCGTAATTTCACCGGAATGTTGCCAGAATTTTGAAAATATATAGAGAATGACTTTTTTTTTTTTGTGAAGAGAATGATTTTTTTTGGTCGAGAAGAGAATGAAACTGATGAATGAAGAGAGAACTGAATGAAATTGGAAATGAATGAAGAGAAGAGAGATGAGAGAAGAGAGAAGAGAGAGATGATCTTTCTTTAAAAAAAAAATTGATAGTAAGGGTAGTTTTGTCTTTTAGGTGCTAAAATGGCTAAAAAATAGGTTTTTTTTTAAAAGGTGGCCAAAATTCGTGTTTTACAAATCTAGATGGCTAAAAAAAATTCACTGTATTTCTTTTCTGTTATAACTTACACTAGGGCAATATCTGTTTATTACACGGGTGTTTGTTAAGAAATTTTTATTAAAAAAGAAAAATAGTAATAATTTTTTTTAATGTCAAATACTTTTTTGAACAACTATATTACTATTTATATTCAAAATAACACACATCACTTATACGGCTTACCGTCTTATATTAGCAGTTGCTCATGTGTACTTCATTAGCAAGACAAAATGATGTGGTTTTTCAGTCACTTATTTCATTATGATTTTAGTTCTTCTTTCATTGCGTATAATTATTTTGTTTTGAACATGCAACGCATTTGTGACAGGGTGGGTCCCCGCACTTCTTCGAGCAGGAAGAGGGATGACACTATGGAAAAATGCCATCAAAGTATCACCTCCTCTTAAGCTGGAATTTTGCATGTATAGGTGGTTTTGCATGTAAAGATGGTTTGTACAGTGGCTAATTTTGTCTTTTTTTGGCCTCTTTTGTATGGAAGAACCCTTGAATTTTGTATTTTGGCTCTTTTAGTTTAATGGCAAGTTAATTTACTGTTTCCGATAGCCAATATATGGTATTTAGTACTTGTTGAAAAATGTTGTTTCAGCTTAACATTTCACATGTTGGTTACTCTTACGAATTCAACAATAATTATAATACGACAAACTCTCCAAACGCATAAAGTTCATTTGTGTCTGTTCATTTTTATAAACATTCTCATCCCAAAATTCGCTATGCACAATTTGAACTTTTTACACACGACATATGTAAATAAAGATACAAAAGTATTTTACTAACAAACAATGCCAAAAAATATTTGGGAATTAGGAAATCAATGTTCTATATAATAAAACAAATAAAATTTGAAGCAGAAACAATTTTTGAAATCACACAAACTGTTTATACAATTTGAAACCCTTTTAGGGATGTATCTATCGTTTCTGGGACGTCATAAACCATTTTAGTGATCCAAAAAACCATGTCTGGGATACTTCAATGTTTTCTAGCAGAAACGATTTCTGGACCTAGAAATGACGTTTCTGTTCCCAAAAACGTCATTTCTAGGACTATAAATGATTTCTTGATTCGGAAATTATTTATTGTCCCAGAAAAATCAACTAGACATCGTTTTTTATATTTCTGGAACCAGAAATGTTTTGTGGGAGAATTTTTTGGTTTAGAAATCGTACTTGCATTTCCGGGGTCCAAAAATCGATTTTTGGGATTTCTTGGACCAAAAATTGATTTCTGGTACCAAAATCATTTCTTGGATTTCTGGGACCATAAACCATTTCTAGGGTCTTGAAATCGTTTCTGTGATATTGACAGGGTCAGGAAAGACATAATGGAACCTCACTATGGTGCACCTAGGCTCGCCATCTTATGTTGCGCTTAATATGCGTGGGACCGCACCCTGTTGCCCCGATTCTCTAATCTTACATGGTATCAAGCCAAAGTAGCTTTATTATGGTATCAGTTTCCAGATTTCATCGATTCCTTTGATATTCCGCTGCATTATTCCTTTTCTGATTGTTTGATCCACATCTCGATCGAACATTTTATTTTTTTTCTCTGTTTTCATCTGATTCCTTGTCGGATCTACGTTTTTTTGTTCGATCGCTTGTATTTCGGTCCTCATCGGCTCCGATTGATTAAGATCCGATTTAT